AACGGGACAGGCCTGGATTATGTCCTTCTGCAGATTCTAGAAAGGCTTTAGAGGGCTGTCCCAGGATATCCATCCCTTCAGCATACCCAAACATATCCATCCCTTCAGCCTCGCAGCCTGTGCACCAAATTCCGGTTCACCTCTCCCCTGAATCCTTTTCCAGGCCTGGCTCTCCAGAAATGAGTAGAAGCCAGGGATCTCAGGTGTTCCAGGCATGGCAGTGGGGCCCAAGAGGCAGTAGCTGAGTGGTCCATCTGAAAGATGCTGAACACTGAACTTCACTCATTTTACTCCAGCAAAGCCTGCTGGGCCTTTCTCTTCCAGGTGTTTTTTCTGCCAGGTGGACTGCTCTGCCCCGGGTACTGGCAAAACTCTTGCTGTCCAGCAAGGTTTTGCTGGAATGTTGCTTCCTCCTCAAGGAGGCTGCCTTTGACTGTGCCATTTCTAAACCACAGCCTCTCCCTGTCTCCAGGCTCTTCTCTTTCTTTTCTGTTTTCCTCCATGGGGTGTATCCTTTCTTAAGATCCCATGTCATTTATATATTGTATTTATTATCTATCCGTCTTGTCCCACTGGAACAGAGGTTCTGCCAGGCAGGGATTGCTGCCTGTTCTGCTCTGTTCGAATGCATGTCTCCAGTCATGGAACAGGTGCCTGACACATGGAGGCCCTCTACAAATCTAATTTAATGAAGGCAGACAGGAGGTCAAAGAGTGTTCTTCTTTCCCTGTATTAAGAAGAAAGGTACCAAGATAAGAAAGGTATGAAGATGTATGAGGTGGACCAAAAGGGCCAGGGGCCATGGCATCTTTGCTGTGGGGCACTCCTCACAAGGAAAGAAGGGGCCACTGATACAGGCATTAGCTTGAGTAAGTGAGGCCAATCTCCATGAGACGATATGCAGTGTGATCCCTTTTATTTGCTGTGCTAGAATAGACAGAGTCACACCAATGCAAAACACATCAGTGGTTGCCAGGGTTATGGGCTGAGTCAGAGTTTGAGATGACAGGGATTGGCTTGAGGGGGTTTCTAAGAAGCTGTTATGTATCTTGACTGTGAGGTGCTTCTGCACATGTGTGAAAATTCAAGAACCATAAAGCAAAGGGAATGAGAATAATTTTTCTCTGTACAATAATTTTTAAATCAATAATTTTTTAAAGAAGGAAAGGGTAGAATTTACCCAGAGACTCTGTCCCACGATGACCCGTAAGTGGAAAATTGGCCTTCTTCAGGGTCAGGTGTCCATCATGCAGAAACCACTCTCCCACCCACCTCCATGGGTGCATGTGAGGCCATGCGTTTGTGAATGGAGCGGTGGATATATTTCCCTCTTTATGTACACACAGCAGACATAATGCATGGGTGTCTGTGTGCAGTTTTGAAAGGACAGCAGGTTTTTAATACAGAGCAATGCCACTCTGGCAGACATTTGCTGTGATAAGAAGGAAAGACACCCTGAATAGAATTTTCTTTGCAAATCCCTTTTCCTGGCCTCAGACCCAGTTATGGATTTCCTGCTGTTAATAGATTGCAGTTCTTTCACAGACCCCCTCTTGCCTGTTCTGCTGCTGCCTCCTGACAGCTCTCATCCTACTGGAGGGTCTGCTTGTCTTACTCACCCCTGGGCCGGCTTTCATTTACCCCGAGAGCCAGACAGAGCAGGAGTAAGTGGCAGTTTCCACTGACTGGAAATATTTTCCGCAGTGGTGCTGAGCATTCTGTTAGCAGTCAACCTCTCTGTGCACTGAATGTCTTTTAGCAGGATGGCCCTGCAGGTGAGTTTACTGATATCCTTAGCAGGGCAATGCACTGGCTGGTTGCTCTTACTTTTTCTTGTCTTCCATTTCACACTCATTCTCCTGTTCACTCTGTGTACTGTGTTCATGAGGATCTTCTCCATATCAGCCCTGAGCTCAACATGAGACAAACCTGCCTCTGCCTCCTTGGGATTTACACTCTGAGCTTCCTCCTCCAGACCTGCCTCTTCCGCGAACTGGGTCAGAAGCCTGGGGTGATGGATGTTTGGACTCTATTTCCACCCCAGTCCTTGGTATTCTGTTGTGAACCTCTCAGATCTGTTCTCTGTTCCCTGTCCTTACTGTCCTTGCCTTAGTAGGGGCGGGAAGCACTTGCCAGCTGGGCCCCCAATCTGGACTGCAGTGGCACCCATGTTCCCTCTTTGTAGTCTTTCCCTGCTCAAATCACCCCCTGTCCTATACCCTGCAGAGCCAGGGTTATTTTTTCCCAAAGATCTGATGGGTACACATCTCTGTTTAAGGACATTGATGGTGACACATCCCTGTAATCCCAGAACTCTGGCAGGCTGAGGCAGAAGGATTGCGAGTTTGAGCCCAGTATGGGCAACCTACCAACTTAGTGAAACTGTCTCAGGATAAATTTTTTTAAAAAGGAGCTGGGGAATGTAGCTCAGTAAAAAGACTCTGGGTTCAATTCCAGTACTGGGGAAAAAATAGGAAGAAATGAAAGGAAAGGAGAGAAAAAGGAACATTTAAATTAAAAACTGCCTATGGAATGAGGTTCAAGAGTTGAACAGAGCCCTTGGGAAGAGAAGCCCCAGCTCATTCTGGGGTGTATTTGAGACCACTTCCTTCCCACAGCTAGCCCTCTGTCTCTGGCCAGGGCTCAGATCAGCCTCAGAACATACATGGCATGTCCTGATGTGCCCACCTGCCCTGGGTGAGTTACTTTCTCTGCACTAGCTCCAGCCCACTCCCCAATGGGTCACTTGTCACCTCAGGGAAACCTGCCCCTGCCTGGCCCCCAGGTAAAGCAAACCTTCTCCTCCCCTTTGCCTTTATTATGCTGAGAATATACCATCGATTCTGTATAACTTTGCACAAGCTCACAGAGGGCAGGGCCACATTCACTTGGCATTTCTTCAGTCTGGCAGGCAGAGTACACGGCATGAAGAGAATATTTAATGCATCCAGCTTTATTGAACTGGGTTGATTTCAATTTATCATCTTCTCCAAGTGTGTCGGATGTGCTGGGGCTGGAGCATGAGGATGGAAGAGGTGCAGGAGTGAAGTCTCTTTCTGACTGCTCGACTCAGAGCCGTCCCTTCTCTCGTAGACGTAGGTCTCCGCTTAAGCTCCCTGTGATTAGGGATGATTTGAGTCACCCCTTCCATTCTTGCTTTCTTACCTCAAATGCAGAACAGCTTAGTCATGAGGAGAAGTCTCCATGGCCCCAACTCCACCTAGGTGACCTGTGGAGCACTCCTTCTCCTGCAGACTGGGGTCAGGTGCAGCAGTGGGGACTCCATGGCTCCTGTGCAGGAAATGAGCCTTGGGCTCTGGTGCTGATAGTGAGTGTAGAGCTCTCCTTCCTACTTTTCCCACTCTGGTTTTCAATCCACGTTGGGGTTTTGTGGAAGGAGAAACCTGATAGCTAATGGGAGAATTTCTGTAGTTTCCATCAGGAAATTGGTAAATTCCAATGAATCACAAGCATTCTAAGAATGGAGATTTCTTTCTTCCTTTTTCTCAGCATCCCTCTGTCTACTCAAGACCTCAGCTGGGAGTGCAGTTTCTGCTCTTCCTATGGCTGTCTGATTATTTTGAGAAATTAATTTTTGGTCTTTTTCTGTTTTTTACTACCCCACCCTTTTCCGCTAAAGTCACCAGTCCTCCTTCTATGTTCTATTGCTTACACAGATGAGATTTGTATAATCCAAAGAGAAGCTGCTTGCTATAAAACTTCCTTCCTGGCTTTTTGTTATGGCTGGTATCTAGATGTCCTCCCAAAGCCTCATTCAGAGGAATGGGCTTTTCTGAGATGGTCAGATCTAGGGTGTGTGAATACGGATTAAGGGTGTGTGATAATTAGGTTTGTCCATGATTAGTTCAGCATAGTTCTGGGTGTGGATAATGTGAAGGCCCACTCTGGGTATGGAAGGTTCCAACCAATATGCGTGTAGTCTGGACGGGATATAAAAGAAGAGAGGGAAGATGGGCTCACTGGTCGCTGCCTCCTGCCTGCCCTGCCATGGACTATTTCTCCTGTGTGATGCCACTCTGCCATGTCGCCCTGCCTTGTAGCCAGCTGACTGAACTGAAACCTCTAACAGTTAAACCTCCAGTGGGTGGGGGCTTTGCACTTGCTGTTGGCTTAGCCTAGAACATTCTTCTCATCTTCTTATGGCCTGCCTTTTTACTTTGTTCATGCTCCTGATGTGTGGATGTTATCATTTGAAGATCTCCCCTGACCAACTACGTCAAACAGTGACCTTCATTTGTTTCCTCCACTGTACCTAATTTATGTTTCTTCTTCATATTAAGATTGCTTAACATTTTATGCTTGTATTTGATTATTTCTTTTATGTTATTTTCCCATCTCTAGAATTCAAAAGATCCTGTAGGTCAAAAATCTGTGTCTGTTTGGGTTCACTCCTTAGTCTCCAGTGCCTACCTCATTAGTGGCACCTAGGATGGCTAATTTTAGGTGTCAACTTGAATAGGCCATGGTATCCAGATATGGTCAAACACTAGTCTGGGTTTTTTTTGTGAAGGTATACTTTATACGAGATTAATTTAAGATAGTAGACTTTGAGTAAAGCTGTACCCTTTATGTTAGTCAGCTTTTGGTTACTGTGACAAAATACCCAAGATAATCAATTTAAGAAAAAGAAAGGTTTAATTTGGCTCACAGTTTCAAAATTTCCAGTCTATGACTAGTTGGGCCTGTTGCTCTGGCTCTCTGGTGCACAGCATATCTGAGCCAGGGGGTGTGGTGGGGGAAGCTGCTCATCTCATGTCATGGGAAAAGCAAAGAGGAGCAAGGAGGGGCTAGGGTACCATTACCCCTTCAAGGTTGTGCCCCCAGTGACTTAACTTCTTCTCACTAGGCTACCTCCTAAGATTTCAGACATCCCAACAGTTCCATAGGGGAGCAACCAAGCCTTAAACACATGATCCTTCATGGGATATTCATGATCCAAACTACAGCTTTCCTCATAATGTGGCCTTGATCACTTACAGGCTTTGCAAGAAAAGAGAGTGATGCCCCTGCAAGAAGAGAGGATTTGGCTTGCAGATGGCTTCTGGACTTGAGATACAGCATCACCCTCCTGCGGGCCTTCAGTATACTGGCCCATGCTACAGACTTTGGACTCACTGTTTCATATACATGAGCCGATTTCTTAAAATCCCCTGTCTCCCTCTCCTTATATATATATCACCAACAGACACAGATACACAGACACACACACACACACACACTGCCCACCTCTACATGCATCCCTGTTTGCTCTCTTTGTCTGGAGAACCCTGACTAACACTCCATATATATTTGCTGACTATATTGCATGAATGAAGTATGGGAGCTCAGAAGGGAATGGCTGTACCATATTTTTAGGGATGACATTCTAGACACTAGGGCTCCCAAGAAAATTTTCATAGCTTAGAGCAACCTGGCTTTAAGGCACCACGGGGCATAGGCTTGGAAGGAGTGAAGATGAACATGACAGACTTGAAGTAGAGGTTCTTTCCCCTGGGGGTTATTTCCTAGACTCTTGAGGGAGGTTGAGGTAGGGATAAACAAGAGTCTTGGATAAAGCAACAACTTGGAATCAATTTAGTATTTATTGAAAATGAAATATTCTGACGTATGTTGATACCCAAGTTTATGGGTTAAGTTTTGAGGACTGGTTCTCCTGGCTGCAGCCACTCCCGCTTCCATCAATGGTCACATGTTTGGCTTACAGTACTTTTGCCAGAAACTTCATTCATGCATCAAGTATTTTCCGAGCACATGCTGTGTGTCCGGGAACTGTTGTTGCTAGGGGTGTACACTAGTTACCCTTGCTGTGTGACCTGCCATCTCCATGTCTAGTGACTGAGCACTACTACTCCCATTCCTTACTTCCCCTGGTATCAGTGGGAAGGAATTCAGGAGTAGCTGCGGTTGGTGGCCCTAGCCTGTGTTTTCTCATGAGACTGTAATCAGATGTCAGCCTGACTGGCTTCACCTGCAAGCTTGACTAGGGCTGGGATGCTACTTCAAAGTGGCTCACTTACATGGCTAGCAAACCAGCTCTTGGCAGAGGGCCTCAGTTCCTCCCCATGTAGACCCTTCCTTGGTGCTGCCCAAGTGCTCTCATGGCATGGTATGTCCCCAAGTGAGTGATCTAGCAGACCAAGGCAGAAGCCATAATGCCTCTGTGACCTGACACTGCAAGTTACACACCATCACTGCCATGGTTGGTCAGTAGGAAGGGGACTCTGTAAAAGCACTGGTACTATTCATCCAGGGGTATTGGGGCCACCATGTAGACTGCTTGTCTTAGGAGCACAAAGGTAAAAATGCCCTGATCATGTTTTGCAAGTAAATTGCAATAACATGGGCTCAGCATAAGCCCAAGGTGCCCAGCTCTACCGTCTAGGATTCCCCCTCATCTCTCATGTCATCACCGCCACCAGTCTCCACCCTCTCCTCATGGTGCCATCACAAGTAACTGTTAAGCACAAGACATTATGCCCCATGTTGGGCATATTCTAGGTTCTGGTTAGAAATGTGCACGAGAATGTACCAATAGACTTTCTGGAACTGAAGTGTTCCTGAAAAAAAAAAGACCAGGCCTACAAGCAAAAGAAAGCCACAAGTGAGGGGTCTACCATGCAGACAGACACAGATATGCTTTGAGGTATTACCTAGACGGCTCTGGTGGGCCCTACAGTGCCTGTGCCTTTGCTTCCCTGCTGGCGTTGTACTGCATTCATCTACACTTCTTCCCTACTAGACTACATTTTTTGAGGTCAGGAAGTGAGTCTTCTCTCTCTGGGTTATTGTTACCTCCTTCTAGGTCAGTGCCCAAGTAGGGCCTTCCAGTTACTTTTGTCTTCACTAACAGAAGCAAAACCTTTTTTGTCAAAAAGCAAAACCTTCTAACAGTGTATGCCTGAGAACTGACACAGAACCTCTGTTAGGAGTAAAGTTCTGGAGCATAAGACTTTACCTTATTTACATTGCTTTAAAAATGACTTGCCAAATGAAGGCTTAAAAATACTCACTAAATACACAAGTCAATGCCTGACCCAACAGCATTTTTGGATGAGTTAACAAGTCCTGAATAACTATTGCTCCAGGTTGTTCTCCTTCAGGCCTCAGAAAATCATCAAAAATCACCTCACACCTCTTCTGGACTTCATTTTGCCTGCTAAACCTTGGCCATTTGAGAATAAAGAGGCGGAGCTAATGCATCAAAGATTTATGGGCTCTGCACCCTGGCCTTGGGCATTGTCAGTTGGCACATGATACAAGGAATGACCCTGCTCTATAGAAGTGTGCTGCATGCAGGGCTGGCCCCTGAGAGTGACTGGCATGGGCATGCAATGCAAGGCAAGCATGCAGGTGGGATCTCATGCCGTCTGAACACAGAAGCTGGGTGCATGTGCATCATTAGCTTATGATTAATATATAATAATACAGTAATCACCAGCCAGAGATATGTTAATACAACACTAGGCTGGGAATAATACCCACAGGAAACATCATCTGAAGCCTCCCACGGCATCAGCGATTTGGCCTCCCTTGCTGTTAGCTCAGGTTGGTGCAAGGGGACCCTGAAGATGCTCAGCTTCCAGGCATAGCTTGTGTGTTGAAGAGGAATGAATTGACAGCTGAGGGACAAGTTTGGCTTGGGGCCTGGGCTCCCCAAGAAGCTTCAGGATTTCCTTGCTCCCTCATCTCATGCCCAAGGGGAAAGAAAATAGAGTTTCATGTTCTGAGGGCAAGGATGGCTTGGGCTGAAGTGCAGTGTTGTGGCTTCTCTTGCTCTGGATTTTGTGCTCTGGGACTTTCTTTCCTTTGTTCTGACAAACTGTCCAGATCCTGGTTTCCTGCTTGGGGTCTAGCTCTGGGCTTGAAGGAGACATGTTTCTGCTTGCACGTTGCCCTTTGGTTTGGTACCCCTCCCCTCTCACCTCACGTGGGTATAGACCTGCAAATAAGAAGGATGGAAGGACTCTGCCTGCTAGGCCAGGCCAGAGGAGTCCTCTCTGTGTCTAAGCTGCTCACCAGGGACCATTTGGGGCTAGCAGCATAGTCACCAAGCATCTGCCCTGGCCTGGCTTCTTATTGCACACATCCTCCTTTGCGAGAATACAGTGGGGTTGGTGGGGTTGAGAATGGCTGGTAGCCAGAACTGAGGTGCACAGGGCTCTGGGTCCCTGGCCAAGCATTATGCTAACATGACTTATGTGTAGGAATGAGAGAATGCTTGACATTCTAGTGCATGCAAGTTTCTGGAGTTGAGAGGGGCAGCAGCTTGACCTCTGCAAGACCCTGAATTCACCAAATCTTTTGCATTTCCAGATTGTAGTAACTGCTCAACAAAAGGAACAGCATTTTAAAAATAGCTCAAATGTGGGGGAAGAGCATTTCTAAATAGTCTTTGGTGCAGAGCTAAAGGTATGTTGCTGTGGGAGGAGTAATGTCACAAGAGCTGAGAGATCCTTCCCAGGGGACATAGGACATAAAAGGGAACAAGAGCAGAAGCTACTCCGAGAGTCCAATCAGGCCCAAGTACTTGATTAAGATGGCTGCTGTGCTTGTGCATGCTCTGCCCTCCAACACTCACTCCTGGCAGCCCCTGACATCCAGGCCTCCATTCTAGGTGCCTGACTCCCATCTTCCTGGCTAACCCTTCATTTTTAGCAGTTACCATAGGGGGAACCTCTCTGCTCTACTGTAAAATGTGACCATGCTTTACTGCCGCAGCTCAGTGCTCACCATGTAAATAGGAGACAATTTGGTTGTTGCTTATACAGCAAATCAAGACAATACAAGCTGGGTGAGCAGGGAGCCATCCACATCTTGTCTGCTGGGGATAGGAGCAGGACACCTGCCACGCTCCAAGGCAGTGGCACCAGGTGCAGGGCTCATGGCTCTGGCACTGACATGCCCAGACAGACAGAGAACCTCAGGACCCACTGCTGTCGTTTTCTCTTCTTGGCCTGAAGAGATAGTCTCTTGCCAGTTCCAGTCTGAGAAGAATCCACTCCTCCTTCTCAGGCAAGATGGGAAAAGGCAGGGATGGAGGGAGAGGGAAGGGGAAAGAGGTGGGAAGCAAAGTAGAAGAGTCTTCAGGAGAATTCCCCTGAAATCCTCTTGTCCTGGTATATTGGCTCTGGCTGCCTAGAACTGTGTTGTAGAATGGGGTGTAGGATATAAGGTTTCTGGCTAAGAGGCGAAACCACAAAATAAAACCCCAACCAACACTGAAGCTCCATGCCAGGCAGGCAGCACCTGGCTCTGATGTCAGTTTCCTGGGCAGAGAATCCAGGGCAGCAGGTCACTGTCGTGCTGTTCTCCATGCCAGAGTCCAAGGCATCCATGTCACCCTGCAGGCTCCTGGGCTTGTCTTGTCTCTCTGGCAAGGCCTGCCCTTTCTGTCTGAGCTCAGGAGACACAGTCTGACTCACCGTGTCTGCACTGACCTGCACTGCATGCCCGACAGGAAGATTTCTCATCTATTCCCTGCTTCTGGGAGGACCTGCACCACCTTCCAGCAAGGTGGAAGGAGACCACCCTAAAGCAGGCCAGAAAGCTGGGGGTCTGGTGCTTGCTGCCTCCTGGGGAGAGGCTAAGGAGATGTGCTCTGCGCTGGGCACGTGTCTGCTCAGAGCCCAGTCAGATGTCCACCATCTGCTGCGACCCCTTGTTCTCCTTGGTGCACACAGGTTCCTGTGCCTGGTTCAGAACTCATGGTTGCCTAAACAACAGCTCTGTTTGTGGCATATAATGAAAAGTACATCCCGTGGCTTTATGTTGCTTAATTAATAAGCTCAGTATTAATACCCAAACACCTGCAAATATAATCAGTCATTTGTTCTGACCATGTTTCTTCTTGGGTGGGTTCTGCCTGGCTCTGGCTATAGCTCAGTAGATGGGAAGAAAGGCAATGGGATTAGGAATCTGCTATCTTTCCCCTGACCCCATTCTGTCCAATTTTTATTCTCTAGAAATCTTGTATTTGCTATTTTATACTGCTTGCAATAGGGGCTCCTCTCAGATCCTTTCACTGGGCTGCTACGCCCCTCCCCCAGTGGCTCTGTGAGTGCCAGGTACCAGGGTTCATAGATGCACCCTTCCTTGCAAAGAGATGCTTGCAGCTTATGTCCTCAGTGGGGTGACCTCCGTCCTTGACTGACCAACCAGTGCAGGTTACAGGCAGCCAGTCCTTGATCTTTCCTCAGCATGGGCCAAATTTTTGGTAACGTTCATATTTCAGAATTCAGGGAGAGTAGATGGAAGCCAGACTTCAGATGAAACCATATCCTCCTTGGTATCTTCCCCTTTCCATCCTGCTTTCCTACTTCCTAAGGGCTCCTCCTGAGAGCTCTTCCTCCATTCGTTCCTGGCATATGCACCCATCTCCAGTTCTGCCTCTGGGAACCCTACCTAAGTCACAACTGTCCCCAACTTAACAATGGTTCAACTTGTGATTTTTCAACTTTGTGATGCTGTGAAAGCTATGTACAAATAGTAGAAACTGTACATGATACTTGGCGCTTTGCTCTTTTCCTAGGCCAACGATATGCAGTATAATATTTT